CCAAATACTTTTTCTCTCTTCACAAAACCCTAGGATTTTATCTGCTGCAGCTGTTTTTCTTCTCTGCCTTTGCGTCTCTACAGCCGCCAAAAGAAACCTCAACTGCACGCCTCCGACCCTGCCTTCACACGCCGAAAACAATCACAGCCTCCTGCTTTTGTTCTCCCGCACTGCCCCCAAAAAACCCTAGGTAAAGCCTATTCCTATTTATAGCCTAGTGGTTAATCGGGTGGACCCTGTTGAACAAACCAAGATGGACCGGTTTGTGGCAATCTCTTCACAAAGCACTCCTAAACCCGCTGGGCAATAGCTTCCCACGCGGTTTGTCCCAGCCCTCCATCTCTTCACATGGGTGGGTGGACCCCACATGCATTCATTCACAATTCTCCACCTCGGCGAAGTTTTCCCAAAACTGAGCCGACACCAACCAAAACAAATGTCTCACTTGTTGTGTCCAGTACACCGTGAAACAATTCACGACAACAGACTCAATCCATAACAAGTCGAGAACCCAAAAAAGAATGCAAACACTCTCCAAATGTCAGTATCAACTCACCAAATCGATCTCACCCCCATCAAAATCCAAACCACGTCGGTATCTACTCACCAAATCGATCTCACCCCCATCAAATAATCCAACCCGGCTGCATCATAAAGATTGCCTACGTATCCTCTTGCCCAAGGAATCAAGCCGAACGTAGTTCACCCAAATGGCCTCCAAATACCTCAATCCACTAGAAGAGTTCGCAATCCTTCTCTAACATCACGATCAAGTCTACGACTGATAGCACCTCCAATGGCGTGTCACCTCAGCTAGAATCCCAAATAATGCAGTATGATCTGGAGTAATCTTTACCCAATGTGGAGTAGCATCACTCTCCACCCGCTGCGATACCTCTAAGGTCTGTCCAAAACTCTCCACCTGCTGAGAGTCAATTGGCTTCCTCATCGAAGCTTCAACCAAAGTGACACTACCAGACCTATCTTCCAATGGAGTTTTACCTCCAATCACAGCAGTTGACAACTCTTTAATAGGATGACCCAAATATGTCGAAGCCTCTGTCCAGAAACTCTTCTGCAGACCATTGCTCGACCACCAACACCGTTCCTCCTCCAGCAAGGTACGGTTCTCCAAATTTGTCACCCTATCTAGCTGTTCCAAGATTTCCTTTCCAACGAAGTGTCTCGAAATACCGTGAGCTCGGCTCTAATACAGAAATAGGTCCATCTTGTACCTCCCACCAGAATGGAGTACCTTCACCTTTCTGTCTATTACACACTTCTTCAATCTGTTGGAAACTACTAGGACTTTCTCCAAAGGGGATTTGGTTGCAACCCAAACACGCCTAGAACAGCCACCAACAAAGGAAACCAAACGCCTATTACCTCCCAATGATGTCCCCTTGGAAGGCCCCCAAACATCCACGTGAACTCCTCCAGAACGACCCTTAGCACGGTGAATAGAGGTGCCACACTTCACCTCGGTCTTCTTGCTCACATCAACATGTTCACTGGACTTCAAACTGCAGGTCTTTGCACCCTCTTTCAATCTATGCGAGGAATCAATACTGGAATGGCCAAGCCCCAAATGCCGCAGTCTAGTCGAATCAACAGAAGTCGTCAGCTCTCCACCTGCCACTATACCTCCAGTCAAGTAATACAGGTTATTTCTCCTGACGCCCTTCATCAAAATACGAGAGTCTCTCGCAATCTCGAGAACCATGTCCTCAACACGAACCTTCAGACCCTCTCCAACCAAAGCTCCAATCGAGATCAAGTTCTTCCTCAAAGAAGGAACATATCTCACATCGTTTAACTCTCTAACAGTCCCGTCAAACATCTTTATGCGAATTCTTCCTATCCCAAGGATCTGGCATGCACGGTTATCAGCCATGTACACCACACCACTATCCACCAGCTTCTCAAAACTGGAGAACCATTCCCTTCTAGGGCACACATGATAGGTCGCACCACTATCCAACATCCATTCAGATTCCTCCGAATAGCTATCTGTAGGACTGATAGAAAGCGAATAAATAGAAGAGTCAGAATTATTACCATCCGATACGATGTTTGCTTCTGATGATGGTTGCTTCCCTTTTCCCTTCTGCTTATTCTTCATCCATTCGTCGAGCTTTGGGCAGTCTTTCTTCCAATGACCAGTCTCCTTGCACCAAGCACACTGATCTTTTCCAATTCTAGACTGTGACTTCCAATTCTTTCGGTTTGGACCCTTCCCTCTTGCGACCAACGCCTCCGCTACCGGCTCAACCGAAGCCTCCTTATCCTTCTTTCGAAGCTGATAATTCACAAGTGCAGCGGTGACCTCACTATACGAAAGTGATGCCTTCCCATTAATCAGAGTAAGAACGAAGGTCTCATATTCCTCGTCGGGCAAGGAACTCAACAACAGCAACGCCTTGTCCTCATCTTCAATCTTGACATCCACATTCGCCAAATCCGCAAGAAGCTTTGTGTAGTGGTTCATGTGATCTCTAATGGAGGTTCCCTTCTTCAACTGGAAACGATAAAGTCTCCTCTTCAAATGCAAGCGATTTTCCACACTCTTGGTCAAATACTTGCTTTCGAGAATCTCCCAAATCTTCTTCGCAGAAGTCTCATTCATCACATCATATTTTAGATCTTGAGTCAAACAAGACCTAATCACACCACACACCGTTCGATTCATCTTTTTCCAAACCTTCTCTTCAATCTCATCTGGCTTGCCATCTAACTCCAATGTATCCTCCAAATTCTGCGCGTTCAGCGCATCCAAAACCTCGCATCTCCATAATCCAAAATTGTTTGTGCCATTAAATTTCTCCACATCTATCTTCATAGAGTGGATATTCAAACTCTGAATAGTCTTCACGCCAGAAGAACCACCCTCGACTCCCGAAGCACCTTCTTTCCCCGACATCTTACGCATCAACGAACAAAGAATAGATCCAAAGCTGAAAGATAGAGTCTTTACCGAAAGATCCCACCTTTATCACCAACGAAGTCCTAAACGGGCCTCCAAATTGATCTACTCCTCCAAACCCTAGATCTGGAATCTGGGCTCTGATACCACTTGTTGTGCGCAGCGGAAATTTCGGCAGAGTTTCTGGTGCACAATAAAGAGAAAGATCGATAATAAGAATTCCTGTCTCACCAAGGAGACAAGAATCTGAAGCGGATATCTCAACCAAGTGAGATATCGGCTCTTCCTCTCATCAGTTCTAGGACTGACTTGTCGAGGGATCCTAAAACTATTACAATGGTCACAAACTCAAACAACCAATTTTTACGTGGTTCGGCAAACTGCCTACGTCCACGGGGCAAGGAAGGGGGAGATCTACTATTAGAGGGAGAGAATACAACTAGGGTTTACAACTCTCACAATTTAAACCCTCAATTAACTCTCAAATCTCTAACAAAAGGGATACCCAAAAGAAAACCTCTCAAAAGCCGTACAAAAGACTTTTTCTCTTAAAGCCTCCTCTGCCTCCGCACTGTATTGCTCCAAAAGAGAACTCAGCCGCTGCTTTTCCCCAAGCCCCTGCTTCCGTACCTTGCACGCGCCTCCAAGCCTTCGGTTTGCACGCCGCTTTTTCCCTGGCCTTCGCACACGTCCTTGCTGCTCCCTGCAATTTTCTTTTGCTGCCGCCAAAAGAACCCTTCCACTTGCACGAAAACCTAGGGGGGGAACTAGGGGACTATTTATAGGGAGTTATGTACCGGGTGGGCCTTGAGTTTGTCCGCTGAACAAAACCAAAAAGCTATCCCCTTTTATCTCTTCACACGGAAGAGAATGCTGGCCTATCACTACACGTGAAGGTGGACCCCACACGGTTTCACATTTCCTACCCACTGTCTACTACTATAGATGGAATATCGATTATTACAGTTTAGCTTTACGGTCTGTTTGGTTGTTTTCCCGAAAAAATCAGAAATAGAAAACTCAGTTTTTAAATGATTTCAATAGCTTTTATGATATTTTCTACATTTCTTTTTTTCACAAAGAAATCACCCCATTTCACCTCCAAATCACACAAAAAATAAAAAAAGCCGCAATAGTAACAATGCTTTTAGTTTTCCATTTCTTGTGTTTGTTTGAACAAAAAAATAGAAAGGGAAATCAGCCGCAATGATAACAATGTTTTTAGCATTTAAATAATCTGTTTTTATCACATTGAATGTTTCAACAGTGTTTTTAGTAATTAAAAATTCATAGAAGTTACATTTCTAAGTTTTTCCAGAGATTTTTGGTGTGAAAACACATTTCTTAAAAATCTAACGTGACATCCTACGTGGCAACCTCATTTCTTTAAATCATAAAACGAAACAAACATGTGATTTGAAAATCGGTTGAAACCAAAATCCTACGTGGCAGGGGGGATTTCTTGAAATGTGAGATGGCAGGTTTTCTCATTTTTTTTTTTGTCAAACAAACATCCCCTTAAAGTAGTCGGTTCAAAGCAATAGGATTTTTTAATTTTACTACTTAATTTGTGTTTTTAGTGGCCTTAGTTATTATGAATTCTTGCATGAAGGATTAATTTGTTTGCGGTAATGACCATTTGATTGGTCACAAGGTATATGAGTAGCTGTCATCGTAAATTTCGTACTCCAAAAAAATTTACGTATTATGCGCAAGTTACTTATGATTGATCACTTGCTTGTGAGTCGCCAAAAGATTGCATTAACCATACCTGTAAGAATTTTCATTATCACCATCCGTTCTTCTACTTTCTCATTCCTTTTTGCTTTCACAATGGACGCAGGCACGTATATCACACGCGCAGGCTAGCTTAGAACAAAAATCTTCCCATTTTATTCAATTTTTTCAAAAGGATTGATATGCCTCACAAAACGGCAACAATTCTACCACTTACAAGAACTCGACAACGTACATAATTCACTCACGCGCCACAATCCTCAGGAACAAACGACAACTGCCAGTTAATAAGATCGTAAGTGAACCTTGTATTGAACTGCTGGTGCGCTCCGATGTCAGTCCTGTCGTCCCGAAAAATCCCGAGGCAAAACACCCGGGCCTGGTCATTCGTCACGTACAGCTGCTCTGGCCTGACAAGAAGATCCGCATCTTGTAGGTTGAAAGTCAAGGAAGGCAAATAATCAAGACCCGGCTGCTCTCGCATATGGTAGCAGAGGTCAAGGTCATCAGACGCTGTATCATCCTATTAGCAATGAGGAGGGCAAATAATCAAGACAATATCTTCTTTTTAGAAATATGTATATATACTACTCAAATATATCAGGTTTGATGGGTATGAAGTGGCAACCTATTAGCAATAAGGAGGGCTAACAAGAGTTAGACTCATAACGTGCACCGTATCTTTTGATGTGACTATTAGGTTATGTTCATCTATGATACGTAGCTTATTTTTTTTAATGAGCTGCTAATTAACTCATGCCTATTATTTTCTACTATATATATATCATACATATCTCCTAACATTTTGATTAGTATGCGGCCGATTTTACTAGTAGGGAATATAGAAAATATATTCTCACTCTTTGGTTAAAATGCATATCTGGTACTTTGAAAATATGATTAATCTAGCTGCTGTGAATTTAATAAATAATCAGATTTTAGAGTAAAACGGCAAACAAGTACTTATGAACGGTGTGAAGATAAATAAAGGGTAAATTTGAGATAAGCCAACTACCACGTAGAAGATTTGTTGCATTTTGAGATAACCCCTAGATTTCACAGAGGTCGTAATTCTTTCCATAACTAGTTCTTGTGCACGTGCAATGCACGTCGTATTTTTTTATTTTCTTACTATAAAATACGTCAGATTCATTTTGAGTTAAAATCTATAAACATGTTTACATTTGCCATAAATTTTATTTAAATATTTTTAAAAATTTTATAAAATAGATGATTGATTTTTAAAATCCTTTGGGCGTAGGAATAAACAACTAACAAGTTTGCAGTGGAAGATAGGTGAATGTAGTACATTCTTAAGAATTATTAATTTTTACTTAGTTTGTTTATAAATAGGATCTCATTATTAACTAACTATAAGGCTTAGTACATTTTTTTTTTGTTGGACGTTCAAGGCAGGCAAAGGACCCATGTGAGTCCTCATCACAATGAATGTTATACAATTTAAGTACAAAGAAAAAATGAGGGTTGATCAATGGTGTAGCTGGTTAGGAGAATCTCCATCAACTTAATTTGGTATGTGGATTTATAATAGATGGAGATGGAGAATGGTGGTTATGAAAATAGTGGGTGCGTGTGGGTAATTAATATGGTTTTTGTTTGTGTGGTTTTCTTTGTTCATTTTCAAGGTATCTGTGGTCCTGTGGATATATATAGCTATAACATTGATACTCTCGTTTGGTTTTGTGGAAGAGTATGGGTGTTAAAAAAATTAAATTATCTAATCCGGTTAAAGTAGGATTATATAAGTTTAGCCCATACATGAAATTTGTTTTAACCAACACTCATGTGTAAATATTATAATTGACATTGAGATTCAAGATATGTGTGAGATTCTCTTTGATTTTTATACAAATAGTATTTATTTAAATAATAATAGTATAATTAAACTCTGTGATTTGAAAAAAAATCAAACATACAATATAAGTAATTGCTATAATCTAATCTAATCTAATCTAATCTAATAAGAAGAAAATTAATGAAAATGATGTGAAAATTGTTGTAATTTCATAATTTATAATTTTTAAACAATCTAATCTAATCTACTAAGAATAAAATAACAAAGACACACACCTGTTGAAGGAGATGAAAGTGCTATGAAAATTATTATAATTTCTGATTAAAAAAGATCAAACATATAATATAATTAATTGCTTTAAAATAATATAATCTAATATAATAAGAAAAAAAATAGATGAAAGTGCTGTGAAAATTATTGATATTTTTTATATGGAAAAAATTAAATATCCAATATAATTAATTTCTTTAAAATAATCTAATCTAATCTAATAAGAAGAAAATAACAAAGGCATATACATGTAGAAGGGGATGAAAGTGCTACAGAAATTGTTGTAGTTTCTTGGCTTATAAACATTGGTATGTGATGTTGCATATGAGAGGATAACAATTGTAAATAGAGTTCTATTTAAATAATAATTAATAGTATAATTAAACTTTAAAACTATTTATGCAATATTGTGAATTACTTGAATTTTAGTTAGTGAGAGATTGACACGTTGTGTCCTCATATCGCAGTCGTTTGTTTTAATTTTCTTTTTTTATAATTTTCAAAATGATTTTGTCTCTTTAATTTATTTGGTGGATTTTGCAAATACCCCGTCCACATTATGTACATTTGTAGGTCTGCGCTGTTCCGACGTTCGACCTCTGGGGCGGACATTATTTGTCTCACTAATTTGCTTGTTTTTACATATACGTCATTCATCTTGTATACATTTGTAAATTTGGCATTTAATAATTTTATTCAGGTTTACATTTCAATTTAAACTATATCCTTATCTTCATAATATTATATCCAATAAGAATTCATCAATTTATTAATTTTCTCTTACTTAATGGATTAGTATTTGAATTTTAAAGATATTTTTTTCTACTAAAATATTTTCTCAAACTCGTACTTTTAAAGGGAGTATGATATGATTATGTTCAAAAAACTGTAAACGCTTAAGGGAGGGAGGTTATCTCAAAATGGGCCAAACTTTAGAAGGGTTATGTTAAATTTATCCATAATTAAGAAAACTAATATTTACCGAGATGAAAATACATAAGGGTAAAGGGAACTAACCGGGACAAGACCTAGAAGCGTAAAAATGCTTTGGAGCTTATTCCTCACAACATCATAAGGGCCTCCGGCTAAATAACTCATCGCAGCCCCTGAGTCGATGATGCATCCTCCAGTCCCATCAGCTTGACGGTCAAAAGTCCCCGGTGGGAAATTCATGGGTTGGCCATCGATGCTGATATCGTTGAGTTTGAGATAGTAGAAACCATCACTGTGCAGTATCGGAGTCGTTTGAACATCACCGTTCATGACAATGTCATCGCCGAAGGCTAAGGATTTGACTTTCTCAACTTGTGGAGGGAAGAGGCAATAGGAGAATCTACCGTGGGTGTCATCAATCAGCTGATTGACTAAAGAATGTGGGCTTGAATCTAGGCCGAGGATGCCGGAGGGCACGCCAGTGTATTCTTCCAGTCCTTGGTACCGGTGTGTGCAACCTGTGAGATTTTAAATAGATACTTGTCAACTATTGTAATATTACCACGACCAACATGTGGCTGTTTAGTTATAATAATGCAAATAGGACTGAAGTTTAAACCAAGAGGGGTTGGTACAACATAAAACCAGTTCAAAGGTTATATTTTAGCCTAAGGAGAACTGGACCTATTCTAGCGCATTTTTCCCAATCAGGGTTTAATTGGCCCGAAATGAGGCCATTTTGGAGTAAGGATTATATTAGAACACCCTATAGAATTGGATAATATATATCATCCGTTGGCGGTTACAGGGTTAGTTTCGAAATTGTAGCTATTGAATCAATGGTGTAAATCGCCCCACTCCTATAGTGATGGTTCTGATAGGAAACCTACTGTGCATTTTAAGTGGTTTTACGAAATACACGTTAGTCACATACATCGACACGGTCGGTTAACAGCTAGTTACTTACCATATGCCAAGCCCTGGAATGTCTCAAACTCCCCACTCGAATTGTGGAAGTAGAACGTCTCTCTCGATAGATCACCTTCAACCCACGACTGATCGGCATACGTAATAACATACTTACAAACGCCAGTTATACACGCATATGGATGTACACAAAGTGGATCATCACAGGCCATTTTCCGGTACGTCGGAGAATCAGGAGGATTAAAAGTCCCAATCTGCTCGGGAAAGCACGGATTGCAAGGTTTACATTGTATCCAGGTGACGCCACTGCCGGTGTCCATTTCGAGATAGTACATTCGGTCGTCTTGTCCTGTGCCGATGCCAACGACTGCAAGGTAAAGGCTTTGGTCCTCAAAAAAAGGAGGGTGGATGGTAGTTTTGTTGACTTGAGTGGAGGTGATCTCTTTGATACGAGACATGCGCGCTTGAGATTGTCGGATGAGTTTTTCTGTAAGACTGCCTGGTTTGGCTGTCTCATTGAAGGGAGAGTGCGGTGAGAAGCGGTCGATGAACTCGATGCGGAGGCCTGATGTTGTGAGAGCGAGGAGGAGGAGGAGGAAGAAGAGGATTTGAGCCATGGAGATGTGTTTGAGGGCGTTTGAGTGAGAGTAGAGTGGTTTAAATAAGTGTGAGAGTTTGCGTTAACGGAAAAAGCATCCGCATGAAGGCTAGCTATCAATTCAATCTGCATGTGATCTTCAAATTATGCTAGAATTTCTCATCCCTTTAGTTATTTCTATGATTATGGTGATACGTATAGTAATTATATGGATGATTTGACCAAGCTAGTATGGCAAGAGGCAAGATACCATGTATAACTGAAAATGCTTAGGATTACAATTAGCTAGTGGATATAAAATATATTTTTAGAATAAATGTTTTAACATGGCAATACACATTTATAATAGTAATAGCTTAGGTTAGATGATTTTTTGGAGATAAGTTATTAAAAAATTTTGAGGGAAGGATTCAGTAAGTTATTTTTTCATAAATTTAAAGTCTGGAATTATCCAAATCTATTATACTAGGTGTACAAGTATACTATTAATGACATAAAATCAAACAATTTCCTATACAAATATAACTAATTCATTTAATATCAAAATATAGTAAATAATTTTAATATAGTATAGTGTAATCAATAATTTAACTAATATAGTAAAATGTGGATTTAGAAATATATTTACTATACATTTATTCGTAATCAATAATTTCAAAATATAGTTAATCTTAAAATATAACAAAGATAGGTATACATATAATTTACTATAAGGGGCTGTTTGGTTCGTTTCCTAGATATAGGGAAATGTATTTCCATGTACAAAAACACAAGTTTTGAATTTTCCAAACATTTCCAAGAAATAGATTGTTTCGCTTTGGTTCGCGCAAAAAAATGGTGGAAAACCAATGTATTTATTTTTCTTGTATTTGGTTCGCATGGAAAAAAAAGGGAAAACTTTTGTTTATATGGCAAAAAGCCGACGTAACTGCAGTTTTCGTCGATTTCACGAGGTTGAGGAATGAATTGGGGGAGAGAAAAAAATCTGAAGTAGCGGTGATTTTTACCGAGTTTCCCTTCTTCAACCCTAGCGAACCAAAGATGGAAAAAAACCAACGAAAAGCTTATATCCTACGTGGCCATGAAAAATCTGATGTGAAGGCGGTGTAAAACTTTTCCACCGAGTTAAAAAAACCAACCAAACAGCCCCTAAATTTATAGTAAAACTCAGAACAAAATAACATTAATTTATAGTAAATATATCAATCTCTCTAATAATTACAATATAGTGTATAAAAATGAAATATACATGTATAACAAGACAGGTATACATTTAATATCAAAACTTGGATGATTTTCAGTTATTCAAGTTTTGAAATATTCAAGTATTTTTAAAATTTTAGTTATATTATGCACGTGCAAAAAATATTAGGACTTTTAACATCGATGACCTTAGCTAATGAATATGGTGTTATAGAGTTGACTATTTCCCTTATTCCCTTTTGTTATTTTAAATAAGAGATTATATTTTCATATATTAAAAATAAAATTGTTAATTTTATACAAATTATTAAAATATTAATATATCAATACAAGTATACAAAAATTATATTCTTATATATATCAATCGACAAAATAAATTGTATATTATTTATAACTAATTCAAATTTTAGTTGCTCTATATAGTTATTGGTTTTAATATTAATACAAGTGGTTTATACAAATGTTATTAGAAATAAACAGTTCAAATTTATTTGTAGTATAATTAAGTATCTAATACTTAATATGATTTGATATCATTTATATCTAAAAATTGTCACATGATACACTTTCAAATATTTACCATAAAGATAATATACTCTACACTAAATTATCAAAAATAGAAGCCTAAAGATATTGAATAACTGCAAATAATATCACAAATTCTAGTGTAATGATCAAATTTATGATTTACCATAAAACACATATACACTTCTACGTCCTCATGAATTAGTGGCCATCTGGGTACTTTTCTTCATAAGAACATTGGAGGTTAAAAAATTTTATTAAGCTTGCTTCCATTGGATACAAGCTTACACACACAAATTTATAATATACTCTATACAAAATTATCAAATAATAAGAGATATTTTATAATTTAGATCTTATGGGATGTAATTTTGAAATTACTTTAATCAGAGAATAAAATAAGTGAAAATATTAAAACAAGATTTTTAATATTATTATAAATATTAAAAACTTAACTACAATATTAGCATAATTAAATTAGTTAAAATAAACGTCCAGACAATTTGATATCTCTAATTTCACATATAAAATTAGAACATAATTTAAAGCCTGGAATTATCCATATCTATTATACTAGGTATACAAGTATACTATTAATGACATAAAATCAAACAATTTCCTATACAAATATCACTAATTCATTTAATATCAAAATATAGTAAATAATTTTAATATAGTATAGTGTAATCAATAATTTAACTAATATATTAAAATGTGGATTTAGAAATATATTTACTATACCTTTATTTGTAATCAATAATTTTAAAATATAGTTAATCTTAAAATATAACTAAATAGGTATACATATAATTTACTATAAATTTAGAAATACTCAACTATAATTAATTTAATATAAAAATATAGTAAAACTCAGAACAGAATAAAATTAATTTATAGTAAATATATTAATCTCTCTAATAATTATAGTATAGTGTATACAAATAAAATATACATGTATAACAAGATAGCTATACATTTAATATCAAAACATGGATGATTTGGAGTTATTCAAGTTTTGAAATATTCAAGTATTTTATAAACAATATACAATATTATCAAATAATAAGAGATATTTTATAATTTAGATCTTATGGGATGTAATTTTGAAATTACTTTAATCAGAGAATAAAATAAGTGAATATATTAAAACAAGATTTTTAATATTATTATAAATATTAAAAACTTAACTATAATATTATCATAATTATTTTAGTTAAAATAAATGTACAAACAATTTGATATCTCTAATTTCACATATAAAATTAGAACAGAATTTAAAGTCTGGAATTATCCATATCTATTATACTAGGTATACAAGTATACTATTAATGACATAAAATCAAACAATTTCCTATACAAATATAACTAATTCATTTAATATCAAAATATAGTAAATAATTTTAATATAGTATAGTGTAATCAATAATTTAACTAATATAGTAAAATGTGGATTTAGAAAAATATTTACTATACATTTATTTGTAATCAATAGTTTTAAAATATAGTTAATCTTAAAATATAACTAAATAGGTATACATATAATTTACTATTAATTTATAAATACTTAAATATAATTCATTTAATATCAAAATATAGTAAAACTCAGAACAGAATAACATTAATTTATAGTAAATATATTAATCTCTCTAATAATTATAGTATAATGTATACAAATGAAATATACATGTATAACAAGATAGGTATACATTTAATATCAAAACTTGGATGATTTGGAGTTATTCAAGTTTTGAAATATTCAAGTATTTTATAACATTTTAGTTATATTATGCACGTGCAAAAAATATTAGGACTTTTAACATCGATGACCTTAGCTAATGAATATGGTATTATAGAGTTGACTATTTCCCCTATTTTGTTTTGTTATTTTAAATAAGGGATTATATTTTCATAATATTAAAAATAAAATTGTTAATTATATACAAATTATTAAAATATTAAATATCAATACAAGTATACTAAAATTATATTCTTATATATATATCAATCGACAAAACAAATTGTATAATATTCATAACTAATCAAATTTTAGTTGCTATATATAGTTATTGATTTTAATATTAATACAAGTGGTTTATACAAATATTACTAGAAATAATCAGTTTAAATGTATTTGTAGTATAATTAAGTAACTAATACTTATTATGATTTGATATCATTTATAGCTAAAAATTGTCACTTGATACATTTTCAAATATTTACCATAAAGATAATATACTCTATACTAAATTATCAAAAATAGAAACCTATAGATATTGAATAACTGCAAATAATATTGCAAATCTTAGTGTAATGATCAAATTTAAGATTTACCATAAAACACATATACACTTCTACATACTCATGAATTTGTGTTGCCATCTGGGTACTTTTCTTCATAAGAAAATTGGAGGTTATAAATTTTTGTTAAGCTTGCTTCCATTGGATACAGGCTTACACACACAAATTTGTATTGCGTATACTTCCTTGGAATTTCAGTAAGTAATTCTTCACACGTATCTTGAATGTGGATGCATTTTGCATTAGTAGCTCTTGAGAAATCATTAAGTCGGTAGATTTGTAAACCTGTAATAGTTTAAACAGAACGGATCTCTTATTATTGCAGCCATTTGTAACATTATAGATTGTTGTACAGTTTGGAGCAATTTTCTTTCTAGTTCACAAGAGAAGTGAAGCGGATCCAATCATTCATGTACCTTCGTTCTTTTGATCTCTGCAGAAACCTTTTGCAGCCTAATTCTTTTCTTAAACTTTGGAATTTCCTTTATAGTGTGTAGGAGCTTGCTTAACATAATAATAGGTTGCACATGATGATGCCCTTTTCTAATGTGTATCACATGATTCTTTAATCATAATACTAATATGCATCTTAATTGTATGGCAATGCTAATTTTTGCTTTAACTAGTGTGTAAGATACTCCAAAAAGCCGAAACAAATCATTCCTAGCATTGATGTCAGTGTCATTTATACTTTTCTTAGAACAGCAGGCATCTAATTAGTAAGAGTTTAATGAAACGTCTGCAGCTACAAAAACATAATTCCCCAAGTAATGTAAATGAAAGCTATAGAAATCCTTGTAGACATTATTAATATTAACATGGTTATTGCAAAATATTCGATAATGTAGCCCCATAATACGATGGAAGCCCTAAGCAAACACCAAGTTTTCAAGCGACAAGTTTGCGTGAATTGGTTTAAGCTAGGGAGGTGGTTCTATGGCTTTCGACTACCTGACGAGCACAGAATTCGGAGGGTTGCTCTTGGCGATCTTG